TTGAAAACTTATTATATGTAACTGTATGTTACGTACGTAGCAATTTTATTATTACCAATTTTAGAGACACTATATACACTTTTATAAAAACTACGTACAAGCAGATGAAAGTAAATATGTAGAATTTATGCTGTATTTAAAAAAACTACAGATTCCAATAATAATAATACAAATAAAAAGCCAAATAAATAAATAAAATATAATTGGACTCCCATTATTCTGCCATTTATGTAATATAGTACTATCAGGAAAAAAAAATCTAATTTTTCGATAATTATGATAAATGATTAAAATTTTACCTTGTCTTTTGAGTTAAAAGAAGCATAATTTGTAAATAAATTATATCACCAACCGCTGGAAACAATTGCTTATTAATCAAGACAATTACCACCTCATTTGATCCAATACATTCGACCAAACCAACAAAGCCTATTTAACAAAGACGTGATTTTTTTTTTCGCAAACGATACTGCAAAGTGGATAAAATTTAAATTTAATTAACGAATGAAGCAAACTTCATTAAAAGCATATTTAAAAATGGTTCGTTGAAAAGGCAATGGCTATCAAAAATGTGTATTACCGATGATTTATTCAAAATGATATTGTGGAATTTTGATTCATCACCTGGCATATTGTCAAACCTTAGTATGGCATAATTAAAGTTGCCAATATCGGTATTGCGAACAAAAACAAGGGATAGAAGAATGTTAAACTAAAGAGTTCAACCGTAGATTTAGCTTGTTGGTTACAAGATTATGATTTGTGGAATTTGGCGGAATTGTAAACGGTCGGTAATTGTTTTGAGTTTCATGAGGGTTCAAGGATGATGAAAAGTCCATAGTAAAAAATTTTACATATATAACTAACGTCCATTTTTGCAATACGCGAGATTGGTAAACAAGAAATGAAGGGATAAAGGTGTAAAAGAATCATGTAATTTTATCAAAGCCAGTCAAACAACGACCAACTCGCTCATAAAGAAGGAACAAAAACGAAAAAAAAAAAAAAGGATACGAGAAATAAAAAAAAAATAAAAATAAAATAAAATAATAAAATAAAAATAAAATAAAATGTTCAGGTAAAAGCAAAGTACTGCCGACACAATTCTACATGAAGGGAAAAATAAAATATTGAACAATATGCACTTGATCATTAAAATATACTCAAAGCAATAAGCTGAACGAAAATAAATCAAGAATGTTCAAAATTCGTTATATATCTCACCTATCGAAGTGCCGGCGTATATATAGAAAATTGTATACATATGTAAACACTACTTTTTATTTTATATCTCCGCCTTCAGCCCCAGCATCATTCTCACTGCCATCAACATTCAGCTTCTTTTGAACCAATTCACTCAATTCTTCGGTAGGGTCGCTAGTAACTATGAGGGGAACGTCGTTATTAGCTATGGTTTCGGGCGGATTTGGTGCTGACGTATCAGCAGCCACCATTTGACCTTCCGCTCCATGGTGTATAATTGGTCCCGAATAAAGCGGTTGGTAATACCGCGGAACATATTGGGGGCCGAATGGAGGAGAAATTGAACCAGCAGGGTAAGCTCTAAGGAAATTTTAATAATTCAATGATTTAGTTATGAACAGAGTTGTTTTCAATGAACAAATGTAATGCCAAATGCATACCCTGGAGGTTGAACTCCTTCAGAATAATATTGAAGATAAGCCCCGTGACCTGGTGGAGAGCCAGGTGCCGCCATACCCAACATATGCTCCGGAGTAACAGGAACTTGTGGAATGATTCTCTATGGGGCAGAAGTTACTAATAAATACTCGATTTGTGCGGAGTTGCTCGACAATGATTTTAAATTCATATTTGAAACACGTTTATTTATAAATAGCAAAAAATCGTATTAACACTCATCATTTTCAGTGGACGACCCAACGTTGCCACCACCCACTGTCCAAGGAAACTCGCAGATTTAACTAGAGTTTTAACGACCCTGCAGTATACCTGAGACAGAGGTCAAGTGGCTCAATATTGTTATATATCGGAGATCTAGCTTTGAAATTCTGATCGATTTAGCTGAACTTTGGCAAATTAATAATAATAATAAAATAATAAACGAAGATACAGATCTTGTTAACTTGCCGGTCTCATTACAAATTTTAAATAAGTTTCAGGAATATTACAACTAGATTATCTAGACGAAGCTTATCTGATTTGTCAAACCTTTTCAAGGACACTAACTTAATAATGAGCACACAGAAGGACACTTCCGCTCCCGTTAGCACGGAGGCAACGAGTAAGCAAAATGACATCAGCACTAGCACAGCTTCAACCGGAAACGAGATAAAAGATAATCATGTTGATAAAAAGGATCATGGAAAGTCTACTGAACATACTACTTCTAACGCAAGTTCCAACGCTGTGTCTTCTTTACCTGTGTCTCCAACGCCAAACTTTTATTATGCCAATGGTTATGCTGACCCACAGACTATCGCTGCCGGAGAATATCATGCCGCCATGGCCGCAGGATATGATCCGAGTGATCCAAACGTTTTCTCGGCCTATGGCCATTATGGGATGCATCCATCATATTCTCAATATTATCCTGCAGAATACGGGACTGGGTTTCCTGGAACACCACCTCTTCAAGGGCAGACATCACCTTCTCTTGCACCTCAACCTTTGAGTCCTTATTTTACTGCCACTAGCCCACCAATTGCTTATTACCATCCCACATCACCTCAAGTTGGTCCGACTGGGATTATTCATTCACCTCCCATGCATCCGTACCTGTATTCACCACAATCTCCTTATGGTGTACTTCATACGCTCTCACCTACACTTTCACAATCTTCCTCATCCGCTCCTAATTCTCCGCCTCCACAATATTTACCTGGTCCTGGTGTCCCTTCGCCTAAAGCTGGCCCTTTGAATGGCAATGGCCGTGGCAGTGTCAATCGCCCCCCTCACTATAATTACGATCGAAGAAATTCCGGTTCCCATCAGATACCTAATCTTCCCAATTTTAATAATCCGACAAAAACCACCAATATTTATATTCGTGGTTTACCACCTAATACAAGTGACGAATCTTTGCACAATATGTGTTCGATGTGAGTGCTTCATTCTTTGTATTCTTTGAGCAAACCAAGGACATAATCCATGGCAAATACGTAAAATGTGTACAAATGTATACATAAAAATTATTAGTAAATTTATTTTGTGAAATCAAAATTTATTTATAACCACCACGTTGGATATTTATCAGATATCATCTCAGCGGTAGTAATATATTGATAATATAATAGTCTTTAACATTCTTTCTCTTTGAAAACATACCGTTAAAAGATACGGTTCTATTACTTCATCGAAAGCTATTATAGATCAAAAACAAGGCGACTGTAAAGGTTACGGCTTTGTTATGTATGAATCTGAAGATCAAGCCAAGCATGCTATTGAACAATTGACGCGATTGGGATTGCAAGTTTCCTTCGCCAAGGTTGGTTATGTGAGTGTAACACGCATGTTTGTGACTTCTATTTCTTGTTTGGCATGTATTACCGTATTTTGTTTCATAAAATAATTATCCAAATATCATTGTAAATCTTAAAATTAAATAGGAATCATTCAGCACTCGATTGAAGAACCTTCAGGATTTAGCTTCTACAAATATATACTTGTCCAATTTACCTTTGGATATGAATGAACAAGTAAGCATTAAGATGTATTTGTTCTTTAATAACATAGACTTAATGAAATCTCTAATTTTATAGCAATTGGAAGAGTTGTTCAAGCCTTATAAAGTCGTATCTAACAGAATCCTCAGGGATACTAGCGGAACAAGTCGTGGAGTTGGATTTGCTAGGTAAATTTTTTTTTTTTTGAGCTGTTGAAACTGCTGAAATATGCTGTACAAGTTTTACCATAGACACTCTTTAGAGTGATCTTTGGTGCGATTACATTACAAAGTTTAATACCTTTAAATGTAAAGTAGTCGGGTAATTTAATAATTCAGAATACTTTAAAAAGTGTTTACGTTAAACAGACAGCATGTTATCATTCATCGTATGTTAAAATGGTATTTTAATAGTTTAGAAGAAAATTCTAATTGTATAGTTTAAAAAATATTTTAGGTTACAATTATACATGTTGGCAAAATCCCAAATTACTATTGTTTGAATTTGTCCGCGCCCAAATCCCAAATTCATCCCAAATTAA